AAAACTGATCATTTTGATATTGCATTGGCCTGAAGCAAGAATGCAACTAAGAATGTGAATGTGTTTAACTTCAAGCAGGCAAGAATAGGATTTATCTGTCATCTGATTATTGGGTGTTTCTCTATGTTATTGTAATTTCCCTTAAATTATAAGGAATGTAAGGTTGAGGCAACTGTTGAGGCAACTGTTTCTGTGATTTGGTGCTATATAATAAATAAAACCAAAGTGAATTGAATTTAAGTGACTTTATGTGTTTGTAATTATGAATCTTTATTATAAAACTCTAACATAATATCTGTGTTTAAAAATGTAAGATTATCATGGATGTTTGAACTGGCCAACTTTATTGTTTGTTTTACTGATTTGATTTTTTGTTCTCAGTTTATTTTAGTTTAGTTACTGTGGCTTTGCTTGTTTCACTTTGGTTTTTGTATTTAAATATTGAGAACTATCCTATTCATTTATGTTATCTGGAATGGACGTTTGCTTTTGGTCTATATCTTTTTACTTATTTGAGCTACCTTACTAAGTCCTGTGGTACTAAATAGAGTGCCTCATGGGCTTTCCATTGATATCTCGTGTGTTTGGGTGGCCTCTTTTACCTCCAAAGAGCAAGAAAACCACACACAAAAAATTATTTTTTCCTCGGTTCTCAAGAGGATATGTATAATAAATTTTATTATTATTATTTTGTTGTTGTTATAGCTCCATATCTTTCACCTTTATATCTAATATGTTCAGAAGTTTGGAACAGAAATCACATAGCAAATGAATTATGTGGGGATCCCCTTCTGTAGATATTTCCTCGTCTTTGTTCACAAATTTGAGATTAAAGATTAAATTGGTTTCCTTTTATTTTACTGCTATTAGTAAATTAGACTGATGAAAAAAAACAACAACACAAAACTCACTTTATTTATGTTGACAATCCACAGCTCAGGGACAAGCAGGGTGGACTAACAGGAAGTCGCTGTTGATTTGACCAATCACACGAGGAGCAGTCCAGCAGGATTCAGGGGAGATGGGGAGGACTTCTGCCATTAGCGTGTACTAGTGGCTGTGTTAGCTCTGTCATTAAGTTAACCTAGTTGACTAGGCTTATTCTAACCTGCAGCACGAATACAAACAGTAAAGAGCTGACATTTTCTCAACGATACAGAGGTATAAGGCAGCAAGTGGACTAACATTTCGCTCGGGAGAATATCGACCGAGATGTGTAACGACCTGGACTTGATATCAGGAATCTACCTGGCTGCTAGTGTGTTGACTGACAGCTGGCACCTGGCTGCTTAGCTAGCTGACTAGCTAGCTAGGTGAGCTGACGGGGTTTTTCGGGCTCATAGTCCGGCTCATAGTGTAGCTAGTACTGATTTTGGTATAGAGTGGAAAGCGGCTTCTCTGCATTATTTGACTCCGCCTGCTGTTCAAACCATGAGTTAGCTGAACAGCATCAGGCAGCAGTGTTCGGGATATTTTAAGGTCCAGCTAGTTTCTCTAGCTTTTAGCTTGAAGCCAGCTAGCAGCATTCATTCAGCTGTTGAAGCGTTAACGCCAGCACCTCAGCGACTGACTCTGTCCAACTACTATCGTTGTCGCGACATTTATACATTTTTGGACTCGGTCCTGCTTTGGGCAGTGTCAAGGGAAAATGAAGAAATTTTTTGATTCCCGTCGGGAGTTTGGGGGCTCCGGGCCTGGTCCTGGAGCCGGTGGAGGAGGCGCTGGTTCCGGCGGCGGAGGCAGCTTCATCGGACGAGTCTTCAGCATTGGAAGATATCAAGTAACCGTGGAGGAAACAATCGCTGAAGGTGAACTACGTGGCGTTCCCTTATGTGGATTACTACAACCACTTTAATTGTGATTTGGACGGCTTCATTTAAACAATTGGGCCTGTTTTTGTTTTGTTTTTGGCCCAGCCAGAGTAATGTTACTAACACAATGATAAGCTATCATGTTTGCTATACATTACTAAGTGGAAATGGCATTGGTTAATGGATATTTATTGGTCAGGGTTTAGAGGTTACACATTTAGGCAGTCCTCTGCATGCCTGTTTGCTGCCAGGTTGCCCAAACCTGGCTTATCTGTGTATTATTAATAATAACAATAATAATAACAACAGGCAGATTAGGAGGAAGACAGACTAGGCTGAAATTTTAAGATGTAAAGATGATGGGCTCTACATCTCTCAGTGTGTATTATCCTTGCATTACTACACTCTTTACTTGAAGGCTGGGAGGAACATAGCAAAACTAGATTTCCTGCTGTGCTGTAAGGGGCCAACGCCATGCTGAGTCACCTGTATGGATATTTACAGAGGGACTGGCAGATGTAGACTGCACAAGTTAAAATTAACTGGAAGTTGTTGGTTAGGATGTGTTGGCACATAGAATGTGACCTTACAGTAAGCTAAAACTCAGACATAACTTCACACCAACTTTTCCAGGTGAAAATATTCTTGCATGTTCATTTGTTAATCCAAAATCTTTAACTTAGTGGTGAGGACTGATTGCACCTTTTTAAGGTCATTTCTACTAGAACAGGCTAAACAGATATTGTGAAAGAGGTAAACCTTTTCCCTGTGGTCATTTGTCTTTGCAATGAGAGTCTGATGTCCTCTGTTAGCTAAGAGGGCCTGTTACTAAATAATAGATGAAAAAAGTCTGATTAATTTATCAGTACTATAGATGGGAACCATGTGTTTGGCCACACACTGGCTTTATGAATGAGTTCCACAGCAAACTTCAGACCCGCCCTGTACTGGGATGTTAGGGAATTTCTTTGTTTCTGTGAGCTCAGTTCAGTTCTGGAAACACTTTGGCCTTTGCACACTTTGCAGATAGTAACTTTAGAAAAGCACAATTCAGGTGTGTAATTCTTAGGCCTACTAAATGGCATCACCATAATTATATATACAGCTTCCCCAAGATGCAAGGTTTTATTTATTTATTTATTTTTTCCTTTCACTACATTTTGATCTGGTAGTAGAGCTGCTCTTTGTAATTCGAGTACAGCTACTGGCAATACACCTGTTTATTCAGATGCTTTTCATTGAAGTCTGGGCTTGCAGTCACTGTTATCTGGCTGCGTCATGTAGTTAATTATTTTTTCCTCCTCTTACTCCAACTCCCTTTGTTGTCACTCTTGAACTTTGTGGCAACACACTTTACCCTGTGCTGACTAAAGCAGTGAGGGCAGCGCACTGTGCTGCTTTTGTAACTTTTTTTTTTTGTAACTTTGGTTTGGAGGTGCACGCTTTGAACAGTGTTATCTTTTTTTTAGCTTTAGGTCTTGGGTAAATCTGTGATTTATTACTGACTTACCTCTGGATTTCCTGACACACAGCTCTCTCCCTTTACGGTCAGCAGGAAGTGTTGTTTTGTATTGATGTATAGAGTTACTGCTGGTAACATTAGTGCCACCAGATCCTGCTGTCATTAATGTGCAAGTCATTCCCTTTTTGTATACCATAATTATCACATTTTCTAACCGAGGGGAAAAAAAACTTTTCTAAGTTAGATTAGATAGTTTATGCCACCTTCTCTTGAGACGATCTCTGGATTTTCTCCCTGTCACTGCACTGTTGTGCATATGTTTGTAAACAGCATCGTAGTTGTGAGGGCATGTGCTGTGTCTTAGTCCAAAGCCTAGATGCTTATTATGCAAGTTCCATTACACTGACAGATTGTAACTGAGCACTACAAGCATTGGTGACACTTTTCATTGCAGAGCCCAAAGGTTTATTTTTGTGTGCATTTACAACTGTGTTATAATCATTTTACGTCAAGGAGTAGTGGCTATTTGTAGCTGGACTTATTTACTCACCCCATCTCCTGAGACAGTAGACCACTGCTAAATGTTGCTTAAGACTGCCGCTAATCCTTCTAATTTCTAACAGGCATCTCAGATTAGACTGTGCAAGACAGCAGTGGATCAGATGCCTCTGCTCTGCTGGGCTATACACACACGTGCCCGCCTAGCCTCTGCTCTTTATTCTGATTCAATACAGGCCTCAGCTCTTAATTAAACTTCATATCTCATCCAAGCAATTGCTTTTCATGTCATAACACTAATTACTGAGCAAAGTGCTCTGCCAGCTCCTTTTTCTTAGATGCAGAGAATTTAGCACTTCATTGTGAAACTTCAAGTCATTTAATTCATTTTGACAACAGTAAAATTACTAAGTTTCCTCATTCATGCTGACCCACACAGGATGGAGGACTGAAGCCCACATGATTTCATATTTAGTGTGGTTTCCTGTTTAAAAAAATCTTGCTGTACTCTATGAACGTCTTTAACAATGCAGCTTGTATTGAGTAATGCTGATAGTAGTAGAATAATAATAATAACAATGATAATTGAATCTAAAATATCCAGATATTTGCTGAGAGATACTCAGTTTGTGCTTTATTTATTAGTGTGGTATGATTCCTGGTGGTTTTAGTTGCTATGGTTGTCACTGTCATCATTGTGACTAAACGTGGGATAATATATTCTCTCACTTCCTATGTCTTGTCAGTTTTGTCTTCTTGCATCTTTTTGGCACAGCTGCTTACTCACACAGTTTTGTTTCAAGGTCTTGTGACTATTGTGCCAGTCAGCTAACTCACCACACAGTGTTTATGCTAAACCCAGGCCATCCAACAGGGTTGAATTATACCCTGCTGCAGGGCTGTTTGACACCAGTGCTTTAAACTGGATAAAACAATTCGTTGCACATGTTTGATAGATTTCATTTTTATTGTGACTTTATCAGGCTCCTTGTAGTTTAGGTTATGATTATTTGATCTGCCAAGATCGTCTTTTTTCCTCAGTAAAAATCAAGTCACTGTCAACAGATGGTCACTGTCCTGAGAAATAAACTCAAAGCAGACTGAGCAAGGCAGTATGCTTAACACTGTTGTCTTATAGAAAGAACGCCCTGGGTTTTAGCACCAATGCAGTGCCGCCTATAATTGCACTGTATATGGTGGCAAAAAATGCAAGAGACATAACTATGGTGGTTTTCCTATTTCTGCATTTCAATTTGTCCATTCTCCCTGTTCTTCTCTCTGCAGGAGGTTTTGCCATAGTCTTTTTGGTGAGGACTCATCAAGGTGCACGATGTGCACTAAAAAGAATGTATGTCAACAACGAACACGATTTGAAGATCTGCAAACTTGAAATACAAATTATGGTGAGTGTGATTGCCCCAAAGCTGACTGGAGCAAATTCAACAATTTGCATTACTGTTAGCCTGCTCAGCAACAAACAAAAAAATCTATCTAGTGTTATGTAATTTGACACAGAAAATGCAAATATGATCAACCCCGAATGCCCGAAATTAAAAAAAAAAAAAAAAAAAAAAAGTTATGCAAAAACACTATTTGACCTGTGTCAAGTGGTGATAACAAAGCAGCATTCAGGATTGTAATTAGTTCCATTTTAGAACATGAAGTTCTGTTTAAAATGTTGCCTTGTAAGCTCAGTTGCATGTCCGTTTCCTAACTGTAAGTGAAACAAACCAGTTCCTGTAGCCACTCCCTGGTGACATGCTTATCAGATGATTTTATCATCATTACTTTAAGTCCTTTGGCAGTTAAAATTAAACTGAGAATTTACAAACAGTGATGTATTTTTTGATCTATCAAATAAAATTTCTTAGGACTGCATGATATTTGAAAATTGCCTCTCTTGTTGTTCATCATTCCTGTTTCTTTCTCTGTTTATTTACACAGAGGGACCTGGTGGGTAACAAAAACATAGTCGGCTTCCTGGACTCCAGCATAACTGCAGTCGGAGCTGGTGATGTGTGGGAAGTCCTGATCTTAATGGACTTCTGTCGAGGTAAATCGCCCAACCCCCTCCCCATGCCTTTCTATCTCTGAATTCAAAGCTCCATTACCCTCGGCTCTTACAGCATCCTTTCTTTTCTTTTTTTTCCAAAGGCAAATGTTCAGCTGATAGCTGTCGTGGTCAATAGAACTTGTGTTTTACTCGGTGCTTAACTTAGCTGTGTCATTTGTAGAAAGATAAAATGTTAACATGCCTGTGCAGTTGTGAGCATCGTTAGGGTTTTTAAATTGTGTAGTGTCGAAAATGTATTAATTTTGTTATGCTATAAACAGCAATGTTAATGTGTTATGTGTTTCTTATGTAAAAGCTGACCGCTTTGAAGTGTCATGTGAATGATAAAGATTAATGTATGTTTTTGTCATTTATTTTAGATGTGTTGGTATCAGAGTAAACTTATATTTGAGCCTTAAACATTACCTAGAAACTTTAAATAATAACATAAAAAAAGGAATTTATGTCTTTTTATTGACTAATTTTTTTTCATTTAGGTGGCCAGGTGGTGAACCTAATGAACCAGCGGCTACAGACGGGCTTCACTGAAGCTGAGGTGTTACAGATCTTTTGTGACACGTGCGAGGCGGTCGCTCGTCTACATCAGTGCAAGACTCCAATCATCCATCGAGATCTCAAGGCAAGCCTAATACATTTTCTGTATGCAAATACTACTGACAGCACAGATCTAGCTAATGAATTAAGTAATTTGGAATTTTTGTTTGTTTGTTTGTTTGTTTTTTGCGTTTGTTTCACTGTACATCACATCTCACAAGTCTCATCTTGTCTTCCACACATAGGTGGAAAATATTCTTCTTCATGACCGGGGACACTATGTGCTCTGTGACTTTGGAAGTGCCACCAACCACTTCCAAAATCCTCAGACAGAAGGGGTGGCAGTTTTAGAAGATGAAATCAAAAAGTTAGTTGTTGGGGTTTTTTCCTCTTTATGTACCATCTACCCTTTTTTCTCCCTATATGTCAGAAGCTCATTGGTCTGTTCCCATACATTACTGCTACTGCAGGTATACTACGCTGTCATACCGTGCTCCAGAGATGGTCAACCTCTATGGGGGAAATGTCATCACAACAAAGGCAGACATTTGGGTGAGGCTAACTTGAAAAAATATTATCTAACTACTATGACGTCATACAGAGTATATGTTTTTATATGTGTTAATTTCCTTGTCTGCACAGGCCTTGGGTTGTCTTCTCTATAAGCTGTGCTACTTCACCCTTCCATTCGGCGAGAGCCAAGTGGCTATCTGTGATGGCAGTTTCACCATCCCAGACAACTCCCGCTACTCACATGAAATGCACTGTCTTATTAGTAAGTACTCTATTTGCTTAGATCAAGCGACCTTTCTGCTTTCTGAATGTGTGTAGTCTGTAGGTGCAGTTAAATTTAATTGCAAATTAACTCAGAATAATTTTTGTGTCTCAGGATACATGCTGGAACCTGATCCTGAAAAGAGGCCAGACATTTACCAAGTATCCTACTTTGCCTTTAAACTGGCTCGACGAGAGTGCCCCGTCCCAAATCTACATGTGAGTCATCACGGCGAGAGCAATAGTTGGGAGTATTAGATGAAAATATGTGTGTGCTCAGCAGTTACCAGGTCATCACTTAGGTTTTCTTTTTGTTACTACATGTCTTTGATTTTACATCTCGTGTGCTGGGGTTTGAGTTTCCTCTAGGAAACAGGAGGAAACTTTCCTAGCTAGCTAGAAACGGCTATCTAGGACACAGTGATATTAATGACAGTACATATTTTGTCACTAGGCTCTTAGTAATAACAAAGCACAAAAAAATTTATGGAAAATACTAATCAAAAATGTGAAAAGATTTGATCATTTTTGATAAATCTTTTCTCTCCTGCAGAATTCACCTATTCCTGCAAAACTTCCTGAGCCTATCAAAGCGAGTGAAGCTGTGGCCAAAAAGAGTCAAAACAAAGCCAGGTGAGTGACAAGCAAAGCGTGTGTGTTATTTTTATTAATATTATTGTCATAAGAAACTTTGCATTACTCTGCAGAGTTTTCTTCTTCTTCCATCAGGCTCACAGACCCAGTTCCTACAACGGAAACCTCAATTGCACCTCGACAGCGGCCCAAAGCTGGCCAGGCTCAGCCCCAGCCCATATCAGGCATTCTTCCCATCCAGCCAGCACTCACCCCACGCAAGAGGCCTAGTGTGGCTACTGGGGCACCCCAGGCTATAGGTACAACGAGCTGTTTAAACTATGATTCTCTCTATATGTCAGGGTTAAAACCATTGTGATCAAAGCCTGGATTTATGATGACTGTTACCCTGGTAATAACATTATTTATGTTGAATTACTTTTGGTTCATGAATCCCTCAAGAATTTAACTATAAAATCTGTTTAGATGCTGTGTTCCTATTGGTTTAGTCTGCTCTTTAAAGGCTTTTAGTTTTTATTTGACGTCCCTTCTGGTCAACTTACAGAGACAGAATAGATGGTGGCATGATTCACCCTCACATTTATTTATGTGTTGTTCAAAGTCATTCTTTTGATTGGTATCGGTCCAATTAGTTTTTGCCCCTCAGCCATAAAAAGGCTGATGGGGTGTTGTTGTCACCCCACTGTGGGGGCGGGCGACGTATATACCCAAGTTTGTGAATCCAATAACTCGAGAGCGAGGTGATTTAAGATTTTCTCACTCACTTGCACAACAATGTTTGTGTGGATGACAGCTGGTTCATGTAAGAATCTGCACAAAAAGAATCTGTGTCGTATTTGATGATCAAGAATACTTTTATAATTTTCTCATATATCGTATTAACTTCCCTTACAGGTGTCGGTATCAGTGTCCCTCCTCCAGCTTCAGCTGCTGTCCAACCTACTCAACAGGCTCCGTCTGCTAACATGCAGCCGCAGGCTACATCTCAGCATCAGCAGCTGCTTATTAAGCAGCAGCAGCAGCAGCAGCAAGCTTCTGCCTTCTTAAGTCCACAGAGCACTCAGCAGGTAGGAAGACTGTTAGAGCAAGAATGGAAATGGTGATTAGCTGCAATGTGTGCTGTTTCATGGATGGCATTGAATAATGCTGTGCACGCGTGGTGAGACATTTTAATGCCTTTGTTTTCAAAGAATTAACAGCATCAGGGATTTTTCATCAAATGCATATTCACTGTGCAAGCAATAGCAAGAAGAGTGTGATACCACACAAAGGGTTTGGGCTTGATAATGAGACACACTTGAAAATACAAACTTTAGGTGTGGGCTGTCTGTGTTTTGCATGATGAACTATTTTGATTTCTGTGGATTTTAGTGATATTGTTTTTTGGCTGAGCTGCCCTGTTTGTTGTTCAAAATCAGTTTTAAGAGCTCTGTTTAGTTTCAGTGAAGCTTAAATTCAACATGATTATGTTCATCACTGGTGTGTGTGTGTTTCAAGCCAAAGCTACACATTTACGCTGCTCCCAGACTTAAGGTGGTAATCTCAAAGGTTTGATTTGGTTTCTTACCAGTTAGATTGTGTTCATGGTGCGAGAGGGGTGTTTATGCGTACAGTCAAATACTTCTTATAGGTTTGTCCTATACATATACTTTATAAATATAATCTAATGCCTCATCCTGTAGATGAACTCCACTTCTAGTTTCTTACACTGCAGCTGGCAATGGTGGTCCTTGTTCTGCTCTGTAGGATTTGTGAGCTTGTCGTAGTGCAACATGAAACACTTATCCACCAGCTCCACATTCAGGCTTTTATGTTGCAATGGATCTCCAGAGCTGGAGGAGGACTGTTGTCACAATCTGTAGTCCTGTAATATGTAGAAGCTGGCATCAGTCAAGATCCGATCTTGAGAAGGAGCTGAATGACATTAAGGAATCCTGCAACAGTGTGTCTTATGTTACAGATAGGAAGAACCAGGGCCAGCAGCAACTGTACTTCCCAAATAAAACACTTATGGATACCATATTTTCCTCAGATGAATAAAGAAATAACAATGAGAAAATAAAGAATTAGTTGACAGGCAGTAAGTGTAATTTTCATTCATTCTGTGAGCAATTGTGATTTGATTCTCATGCTGCACATAGCATGAGACTGCTAGCACCACACCTCAGTGAAAGGGTTGGAGGAAGTTACCTGGCTGAGAGGCAGGAAATGTGCTGTTTGCAGCTCTTTATTTAACCAGCTCACTGTAGCTTCCTTTTCCATTCATTCTTGTAAGATTTTAACTAGATCTGCTGTCAACAAATTTTCAGTGTTATGACAGTGTCTCTCCTTTTGCCTGACTAGATCACCATAGTAACTGATGCTGAACACACAACCTATTCCTGCGCAGGTTAACTTCAAGTTTCGAAACCCTAATGTGCAGTTGGAAATAAACAGCATTTATACAGGTGTTTCAAAAAGAATCGTCTGATTTTAAAGTGGTTTTATTCCCCATTCTCCAGTAACAGTGGAAATGCCTATTATTAGAAATAGGAGATTCGTGAGTGTCACGTGGTTGCTGGTCGGTAGCATAACAGCAGCAGTGGCAAGTTTGAGTATTGTGGAGACATGTTGTGTGTCTGGAGGGGGACACATTGAGAACTTGTTAACATTGTCTTGTTTGTAAAACTTAATATTCAGCCATGTACTTTAAAAATTTACCACAAGCTTCTATGTCCATTATTTCGATTACTGTCACTTTAAAATTATAGCTTTTTGAAATCAGATGATTCTTTTTGATACACCTCACTTTATTTTAGTGCTTGGAGAGCTTGCGATTGATGATTTTCTGCCATCACTGCTCGCTTGTCTTATTTGCAGCAATAGGAGGTGTATTTTAAATTCTTTTTCTAGATCTCTACTACATGTTCCTCTGATAATGTTTCTGATCAGAGTAGGTGGAGCTAAATCATTTGTTTTGTGTGGAGGAAGTATCAAATGACATGTCAGCTGCCCTCTTGGCACCTGAAGCAAGCCTAGGTTAACAAAGAAAGTTAATAACTACCACCGTCATACCTGTTGTCTCAGACTGGATTGTTAGGTTTCATCAAGCCAGCTAACAGGAAAAAAAATCTTGGCTATGCTGAACTTTCTTTCTTAGTACACGCCTGTTGACGTGTTTCGTTGACACATTCTTGAGGAATGATAGTGTGAACTGCTAAGCTCACAGACAAACTCGTTGCATTTGTACTGCAAAATGAAATATTTACTTATTAGGAATCATTCCTCAGAAAACTGTTAAATTCCCATTCTGTTACCTCATTTATCAATAAATGTCAATTTAACAGATATTTGTTCAAACAAACCCTTTGAGATTCCCACTTTATTATTAGCCGCAACAAATATTTCCATATTTTTATAGGTTTGTTGTAGGTTTTCTTCTGTGCGTTCATGTTGTTTGCTGGTGAAGCAGAACAGAAAAAATTAATCTGGTTTAGTTTTGCAATAAATAACAGAAAATATTTCAGTTGGGCCACAGTTTACCTTGCTCACGGTCAGCTGTGTGGTGTTCCTGTGTAGCATCACCTGGTACAGAACCTCTACCATCAGCAACTTCAGCAACAACAAACATCATCACAAGCATCCAGTCTGCTGCAATATAAACCTGTTCCTCAAGTTGTTACCCTGCAGCATCAACACCAACAGCAGCAGCATTTAGTCCTTGAAAGTGCAGCTGCCCATCTCACACCCATCCCCGAGTCCGCAGTTGTTGGTCCTGCAGCTCGTGGTCCAGAGTTTGTGGTAACGTCCTACTCCTGCTGCTGTCTGCTACTCTTTGGGTCGGGGCTGATTATTGGCTCGTCTCTAACGAATCACATCCAGACTTTTGCTCACTTTTTCCTCTTCTCGGTGGCAAAATATTCGAAAAATCTCATTCCATTTTTACTGACTGTATAATGTATAGGATTTTCATGAGTTTCTGTCAGACTGTTTCATGTTTTCCTCTCCTGTAAATGTTTCCTGTTTTCATAGAGTTGTAGTTTGGAGCAATCTTCAATCTCTTTGATCAATTTTCTTTTCCAGTTGCTCTTACTTGATCTAATGTTTGTATCTGGTTCATTTATTTCTTTTTTTTAAATACTGAACTGTGCAAAAGTCTTCAGTTTTTTCTTTATGTTTTGCTTCCAAGCAGCCAGACTTGCGTGTAATTTTTAAGTGGTCCTGAGCAATAGTTCTCCAGGCTTTATGAAGGTCTTTTAAAGTTTTTCTTTGGACTTTGGCCTTTTTCACTCATTTTTAGTCCAGTACTTGTATCTGACCATTTCAGAGGAATACTGACCTTTGAATTGTTCAAACATAGAAAAGTCAGCTAACTCAATAGATGAACCAGTGTTGTATCTACACTTAATAGACAGCTTGGCTTTTATGAGCAGAACCAATTTTAAATTGTATCTTTAGGCACTTTGTTACAGTAGCCTATTGCAAAAACATACCATTTGTTTTTGAGCTGACTCTTTGAAAAATGAAGAGCTTTGATTGTCCTTCAAGAAACTGGAGAAATACTTCTAAAGACCAGAAATGACAAGAAAGCTTATCTAGCAGAGTTCAGGCTGTGCTGAAAAATAAAGGTGGTCATACCAAATATTGACTTTCAAGCTGTTTAGAATTGTACAAACTCTGTTTGTGCTTCTATATAATTTTTTTCTGTGTATGTTTGCACGTGTTTCTATAGACCACAGGAACCTTTACTATTTTTCTAGAAAAATATAAAGAAAAGACTCTAGACTTTTGCACAGTACCATAGAGAAAAGGTTTTAGTTACTAATACATTTTCACCCCTCTGCATCATTTTTTTTTCTCATTGCAGACGACTGGCAGAGGGATCCACAAAGTTGGCTCCCTGACACCCCCCTCCTCGCCAAAGACGGCCACCAAGAGTGGCCACAGACGCATCCTTAGTGATGTCACCCACAGTGCCGTGTTTGGGGTCCCCGTTAGCAAGTCGACCCAGCTACTTCAGGCAGCCGCAGCTGAAGCCAGCCTCAACAAGTCCAAGTGAGTAGAATGAACTCCCCTCAGTGATCTGAGGATGAACTGTTCTTTCATGACGTGCAATAGACAGTCCATTCACATCACAGCACAGAAAGAGGACAAATAACTCTTTTAGATCCCCGAGAATATCTCACTTCAGTCTTTAAATAACTGTTCATTCTCTCTCCTTACTACCGCATACATCAGGAGGCCAGTGTGCATTGACTTAACATCCTTTGTGTAGTTTCACTGTGTGCTCCTACTGTCTTTTATATTTATCTTTGTACTGCAGATCAGCAAGCACTACTCCTTCTGGGTCCCCCTGCTCGTCCCAACAGAGTGTATACCATCCAGGTGACGGGGAAGCCTCCTCAGCACTCACTGTCCCCCACACTCAGCCTGCCTGGAATCCTTTTGGAGATGATAACTTCTCTAAGCTAACAGCAGAGGAGCTTCTTAACAAAGACTTTGCAAAGCTAGCTGAGAGTAAGTTCAGTTTGTTCACACACAGCATTAGTGAATCATTCCATGATCTAAAACCTGTTTGTTTTTTCTCCTCCTTTGGCTTGTGCACAGCTGCTGCAGCTGGAGAGAAAGCTGCGGGATCCAATGAAAATCTCATTCCCAGCCTCAATGCCTTTCCAGGTAAGTCTTTGTTTAGTTTTTCTCAGTATGCCTCTGACAGCTTTGTAAAGGATGCTTCTGAACCAGCTGGATTTGTCTCACTGATTGAGTATATGCGAATAATGTCAATCTATCATAAGGATTAGTCTGTGGGCTTGTGTACTTCTATTAAAAGAAAACAGTTTATAACCATCAGAAATCACAGCGCAGCCATCATCTTAATCTTATTTGCATGGTGATTGTTTTTTTTAATTGTTGCATCTATATGCATCCATTGTAGAAAACTGCCCGCAATTAATATTGAAATATTCAAGTATTAGCTGTTGATACTACTAAAGCCAGTATCCAGGACAGCCCTAGAGGCTTGCGCTTGTTGTAAGCAGGCAAATAGTCAAGTCAGAGTATTAGCTTTAAACTGCAGATCTTCAACTGATGATTCCAAGCACTGACTTTGAGTAAGCATCCCTAATTTCTTGCATATTATTAGAAAATTTCTGTTGTGTAGGTTATAGCTGCTCTATATGTTGCTGTCTCAATTTTTAGAGTCCACTGTGCAGTATTGATCTATAGCCATCACCTCACAAGTGTAGCATCAGCGCTATTGTCTCTCAGGCCCTTTTAACTGCCTCTCACTCTATAATATTGTGGTCACACCAGGACGCACAACGAGCCATCCCTTTGATTCTCCTGGACTCTTAGCAAATATACCTCATGAGTGACTTTGTATTTGCTCAGGTAGTTTCTTGGCTTTCACACCATCCACAGGTTAGCTTCCAAGTGCCAGTTTTTGTGGTTTGGATTAGTACACAGTTCTACCTTGTTGACTTAGCGAGCAGCCTCACAGTGGCTTCTTGTAAGCGTTCATGAATAGACAGTGTTGCTACAGCTAGATCGCATCTCATTTGCAGGTCTGTGCTTTCTCCTTCTCTGTTGCCTGGTAACGCAAAGGACAAATTCTCCTTTGTTAATTGGATTGCTTTACCACTAGTGGAGCCTGCTTACCAGTGCTGCTAAGAACAAGAGAAAGCTAAGCGCACTCTCCTGTTGAAATGACAGTCCAGTTTTTTATTTTCTTCTCTGTTTAGTCTTGAGTGCTTCTGGAAGTGTATGCTTCATGCCTCTTTATCTTTTTTTTTCCTTTTTTTTTTTGTTTACATACTGTTTAAGGCCTGGACTGAGAGGATAAAAACGTTACGTAATAAGGGTGTGGGTAATCTTCTCTGTCCAGCCTAAGCTATCTCTTTGACTCCTTGGATCCCTTACTGAGATAGAATGCACACAAGCAAACACACTCTGACTTTTGCTTAAGAAGCACAACATCCCATCTGAGATAACGTGAAAACAGCCTTGTGGCAAGAGTGCAACAGCATGTAAAACATACTGTATGTAGCATTTTAAAACTGCATATTTTCACTGTTCCCTGTGAAAATCAAATGTTTGACATTTAGGATTTGTGAAAAGCTTTTCATCAGCATTGGCGTCTTTCCTATAGCGAAGGGGTCAGAAGGTCACATCTGCTGTGCCATTTTCTGAGCCAACACATTCCTTGTCCTAGATGCCCCCCCCCCAACCCTTTCTTTGCCCCATAGCAGTTTCCTGTGAGTATAAGGCTGCAGTGAAAAATTAGTAACTGCATGAAATACACTTATACTATAATAAATAGAAATACACTTCATGCATGCAGCACACTTAGTACTTAGTAAAATCAGATCTTATTTGTTTTGGTAACGACAACTTAACAACATCAACTGTGGGTTTTGTTTTGTTTTTTTTGTGCACTGCTCCAAAAATGAGCTGAAAATGTTGTGGAAAATAAAAAGAAAGGTCTTCATTGGTTGCTTTAACTTGAAGTTTTTGAAGGTGTGAAAGAGCATGAGAAATGTTTTCTGCATTAAAGATCTGCTGCCATAATTTAACTTTTTTTGGCAACTGAATGCTATTGAGGAAGGAACTATAACCCAGGGATGTCAAACTCATTTTACGTTGTGTGCCACATACAGCTCACTTTGACCAAATAAATAAAAAATGTTTAAAATCTGCAATCAATTAGTAAAATATATTTATTTTGTATAGTATGACTAGTCATGATGCAGATCTCTATCTGTAGGAAAAGCTGCAAAACTCATTAAAACACATTTAAAAGTCAAAACATTTATGCTGTTCCTTATATCTTCCAGAGGCAGTTGATTGGAGTCTTTGCTTGGCCTTTTTTGGCCCCAGGGCCTTATGTTTGACAACCCTGATATGAACTAACAAATGATTCAGTAATTTTATTATATTGATGTGAAAGTACCTCGAAATTTACATAATATCTTTAATTTTTTTTCTTACTGTCTGCTGGATGAATCTTGCTTCTAAAAATGCTGACCATGAAGGCAGATGGATGCATTTGTCCTTGTTGATTTTTGCCATCATGCACCATCGCAAAGTGTAGTTTCTCTGCTTCTTTGTCATTTCTATGGAAAATCCTCTCTCATTGCCCTTTTCTCTGTTGCCATCTGTCCCTTTCTCTTCTCCCTCTTCTTTCTCTGGCTCACTCACAGAGAAGCTGATTGAGGGACAGAAGTCCCCTGATACTTCTCTTCTGCTCCCTGACCTCTTAACCCTGACTGACTCCTTCAATACTGCTGCAGAGAGCACCACAAATGGTACCAGCTATGTTCTTGTCCCATGCTTTGCCCCCCAGAATTCCTCATTTGCTCTGCATATGTCTTCCTTCCCTTTCTTTTCTCTAATATCCTTACAAAGTCAGGCATATCATCTGGGAAAGGAACAAAGAAGATGTTCTTCTTTTTTTTCTGTACTACTATTAACGTCTTTGTATTACTGTTTTACGTTGTGTTTATGTAGTAAAGGCAGAGGTGTGTGTGGACTCACTGATTCCTGGTTTGGAGGCTCCCCAGCCCCAGAGACATTTGGGCCAGCCAGAGCTCATTCCTGCCAGTGTGCCAGGTTAGCATCCTGGACCTCAGAATAGCACTTTTTCCGATCACTGTTTTACCCAAGGTTAACTAAGTTCAGGTTCTGCGACAATCCTAAAATGTAGTTTTATTGATTTTTATTAACTCAAACATTTGCTGGCATTCTAGATAGGGCTGTTCGATATAACGATATATATCGGATGACGATATAAAAACGTCTATCGTTTCATTTTACGCTATCATTTGTTTCGTGGTGTCGCAAAATAAACTGTTTACGGCAATATTTTTTCATTGTTTTGATGGTCACTGTAGTGGCTATATTAATTTCTTAAAGTTCTCTCTTTCTCTTATATTTATTATAACCACACTACGGAAGGACAAGCGCCTGTTTTTATGCGTTGTGGTTAGCAACAACGACGGTAAAACCATCGCGTGTCCGCTTGTTTATCTTCCACATAAACCTTTCACAATAAAGCTCAAGATCCTGTTGAGACTTTTCAAAATAAACTTAATCACGTGAAAGAGCAGATTATTTACGGATGAGGATGAAAAAAAAAGAGCCGCCAGGTGCTAAAAAATAAACCTTAGACTCAAACGTTAGAACAGGCTTTTCCCCACAGCACGCCGTGTAATAAATACTCACAAAGAAAACGGCGGCCTTTACAACTTATGTCTAAAAATGTATCGTTTCATGCATCGGTTAAAACACTCGACTCCAGCTACATGACGCGAAGCTGGAAACACTTCCCGCAAGTCGAGCTGCCGAGAGTCACAGAATTTACAGAAAATGTTACATTTTTGTGATTTATATCGTTATCGAACGATAGAATTCTTATATCGGGATATGAGATTTTGGTCATATCGCACAGCCCTAGTTCCAGATCACAATCATTTTGGACTATAACTAGAACAGTTGCTTTAGAATAGTTCAGTTATATGGACCATAACCTGCTTAAGCTTTAGGATGTTAAGTGGTCTATTCACTGAGATCTGCTTGCATTTTTCTGTGACCCACTTTGCTACATTTATCTTGAAAAGTGCTATAGAAATAAAAATTGTGCTCAATCATTGAAAAAGAGACACCTCTTTTTATTGTTTGTTATTAAATGAAGCTAACATAGCTTTTGGACTCTTTATGCTTGCACATGTAAGCTATTATACTAATACAATACATATTTTTCTGCTCCTTGCACTAACAGTCTTACTTTCTCATACCCTTTCTTTCTCTGGCCGCTGTCTCAGATTCTCTCACTGGGGAGGATTCTCTGCTGGGTTGTGATCTGTTATCTCATACCTGTCATGGAAACCCATCTGTTTCTGTTCTCCCTTCTTCTTGCTCCTCTGCTCCTCCTGGCGCTGGATCCTGCCTGGAGGAGCTGCCAGCTGGTCAGACTGCTTCTGGTAAGACCTTATATTTTCCGCGTGCGTGTGTGGGGGGGCGGGGTTTTGGGGTTTCAGTGTTTGTGGCAACACAATTGCAGACCCCTGATCAACCACACAATAGAAAGGCCTGTTGAAACAGTAAAAAGCAAAAGTAGAAATTGAATTGGACACTAAATGACAGCCTCGCCAGACCCTTGACTCATTTGTAGAAGATGCTAAAAGCCATGTAAAACTGAATGGCTTTTAAAAACTTTGACTGCCCTGGCTGCTTCCGTTTATAATCTACTCGCATCCTCCTTTTTTTTCTTCTCCTTCTCCTTCTTTTTTAATTTCCTGCTCTTTTCGTTGGCCGAGTTAACCTCTTCCCGCTTCCATCGTTACTTCACTTCCTCTTCCTTCACCACAGACTCTGCTTTCCTCATGTCGTGTGGGGAGAAGGGCAATGACGACGAGTTTGATCCTATTCCAGTGCTCATCTCCAAAAACTCAAATCAAGGTAAGGCTAACCTAATTCTGAGATGAGCACTCACACCTGCTGAAACCCAGACTGTGAGCCACAAAGATGAATGAGCTAGCCCCCCCTCCCAGTTTAGTCACCATTAACTTGTTCCTGGGATTTCTGATGTGAGAAGTCTTGTATGGGTGGCTTTTTTCTTATCTCATCAAGCTCTCACATTAGTCATCTTTTAACTCCCAGTGCTTCGCCATCTTGCAGGTGTTTTGGCTCTTTTTAGTTTATCTTGAAAGTCTCCCCATGTTAGTATGGCTTTCTCTAACTCCCCCCGTCCCGTGTAATGATGCAGCTGTATAAAAGTTATCCCAGCTCACTCTCTGCTTGTTTCTCTTTCTACCCCCCTATTCATGCATCTCTCTCCCCTCATCCTGGTCATCTTCCCTCTCTTTAATTTCTCCATGCAATCCCTGTTAAAATGACTTATTCTTTTGCTTGTCTTTCACACTCTCCCTCGGCTCCTCCATGCCCATCTCTGTCTCTATCTCTCTTTCTTTCTGGCACGTTCCAGGTGGTCACTCGCGCACCAACAGTGGCAGTTCAGAGTCCAGCATCCCCAACTTGGCTCGCTCCCTTCTGCTGGTGGATCAGCTCATCGACCTCTAGAGGGGGTGGGAGAGGTCGAAGGGGCAGTGTGCAATCCTAACAAAGGGATACGGGGAGGGTTGGGGGGGTAGCGATGGGCACGCAGAGACACTTAATGTAGCACCTTATGAACCGAGAGGAGCCAGTATTCTCTTTATGTGCCTCCTTGGCCTCAACTCCATCTCTAGTTGCCTGATAGCTGGTTTCATATGTCTCTGCTAGCCGCTGACATTCCCACACTGGTAAAAATCTTTTCATTAATGCCTGAGCATATCGTCCGCTTCTGTCTTGGCGACACCATGGCCTTCCTCATGCTTTCTTCTTACTCCCATTAACATCCTTAACAGAGTGCACGGCCATGGTCGACCATCATCATATGCACATGTTAAGCATGGTTATATGTGTCAGGGGTCTGACTAAAGACTGTAGAATGCTGTAGATAATTTGATGCACTTTCCTATGAGAGCTTTGAACTACTGACCAAACAAAGATGCAACCTGGAGCTGTGCTTCTGTTTTGAACCAGTTTACATATAAAAGAAGAAGTGTCAGTTTTGGATAGGTTTTAAAGATTTCTCACACTGTTGGAGTGCGCATAGTCATGCAAAGTCAAATCTGTTCAAGCCATTATGTGCCATGATTCCTTTATAGATCTATTTGTCTAAACCAGCTATTCCCAAAGTCAAGAGTGCTGCAGCCCACTTAAAAACCAGAAAATCCCACGGGGCCCACCCAGTCTTAAATCTTCACTCTAATCAAAACACAAGAGAGGGTGGTGTGTTTTTTCTTGACATTTCTATTTAAAAAAGCATAAACAACACAGGCTGTTTGCTATAAATTGCTAACGCTGCCCAATCACATGCAAAGTGTCATGGCCACCTGCCACTGGGACTGAGACTTCAAAGCAAGAGCGTAAATTTAGATCAGAGTGATGAAAAACTTCACAATCTCACCACCTCCGATCACCAGTGTTAATTCACTTTTATATAAATAAATACATTTAAATATGTACATACTTGAGCGTAATTTCTGAATTTCTGTTATTACTGCAGGCACCTGTAGTACCTTTGTGGCCCACACTTTGGGAATCACTGGTGTAAACCGACCAAGTGGCTTCACAGGCTTGAGCATACCTGTATACTGTCCCCTCTTTCTGGATGTTAAGCAGCGTGTCTAGCGTATTCTAATGCTACACCTGTAAATCTGTCAGTTGTAATCATTTCCTGAAACTGCTGAGGTCAGTGTTAATACAGCTGGTGAGTTCGGCTCCATTGCCACAGCACAGCTTCCCACCATTGTCAGCATTATCTACAACACCACTAATGTCAGCTCATTCTCATACCTGTGACCCATCGTTGAGGTAAGCACAGCAGAAGTAAAAGGGAATGAAGGTATTTGACCTGTTCCGATGCCAAAGCTAAACAAGACTCTATTATCATGCTGTTTTTCCTCTGTGTTGGTCCGCTCTCAGGGTCAGTATAAATGAGCAGATTTTTAGCAGAATACCACCGTCACAGAGGGGGAAGTGTGACGTAAATGTCATTATTTTGTGTAGGTATTATGTTAATGAAGGAACTTTACATGAAAATATCCTTCCTCCCTCTCCCACTGACATCCTCTCAATCTTCTCTGGCCAATCCTTTGTTACCATATACCATAAAGTCAGTCGTGACAGTCTGTCCAGATGAAAGAGAAATGTAAATATACATAAAGTAACACTTTTCTTTTTTCTTTCTTTTTTTTGCACTTGTCAGCATTGGTAAAGGTAGATTTTAGTGTGTAACATTTTATCATGTTATGATTAAAAGTGACTATTATTGATAGTGCTTTAGAAAGAATGTATTAACTGAGGACCATTATAAAATATGTAAAAATTGTATAAGGATGTATAGATAAAACATATTTGTGTATGAGGCTTTATTTAAGAGTGCAAAACTGTCGACTCTGTCCTTCTGTCTTCTCTCTTAGTTCTTGTCAAACATTTATCTAGTGCTCACGGTTTAGTCACCAAACAAACATGAGACTAAGTGCTTTTGAATCGCTTGACTGGATAGTATGTGTTGCTCTCCATTGCAGCTGTTAGGTTATACACTAGTACTGGTACATGTAAGTTACTGTATATGCCTGAATAGATTTTATTTAACAGAGCTAATGACGGAACTAACTTCCTGATAACACTGGGATACCTTTCACCTCTGTCTCCTATAGTTCATTAAATAATCATAAGAAAGGCTTGTGTGTCAGCTGTGAGTTGTATTACATCTGATCTTAACCACTTTAAATGTCTACATCCCATTTTCTTTCCATTTAATATTGCGGTTCATATTTTTGCAGTCCACTATAATTCTGCATCCTGCAGCACTCTGCCACTGGTTGCAGACTTTTACGTGTGTTGCTGTGCTCTTTGGGTTGAAATGGAAACAGACTATCTATAATCATCAAAGTGTTAATGAAGTATCACTGATGGAGATCATCAGACTCGTCGTTCCCTTAGCCATAAAAGGCTAATGGGGTTTTGTCATGAATCCTATTTATATCACCTGGTGTAATGTTCATAAATAGAGTGGTTGTTCTGATCAGATCAGTTTTCAGAAACCTAAAAACTTTATTCCTCCTTACACTTTTTTGAATTTGCCTTCCTAAATTGTGTGTCTGTTCATGAGGAAATATCTCAAGTTGACTGTACAGACTATGAGCTGTATTGTGAGAGATGAGAAGCTGTTTTTCTACACACTTAAGTGAGCTGTCACACTGTGGGATATTTTTGTCAGCTCCAAACTGTCATATTCACACTTAAGTCATACGGAAAGGGCGTGGACGTTTTAAAACACAAGTGAGGAGGCAAAGCTCACCCTAGAAGTAAAACAAAACAAGAGCTTTTTGGTCTTTTCCTTTAATTGCTTCAACTAACCTTTCCCCCTGAGCTGCAAGTTAACAACTGCTGTCAACACTGCTGAGGTAAGACTGATCTGTCTTCTGTGCAGTCTGTCTGTCGCTAACTATTTTTCACTTTTGCTGTGAAGGCTCTTTCCCCTTGTTTCCACAGATCTTTCTCATGCTCCCTCCTCCTCAACTGACTCAGTTTTAACCTAAAGCAAAACTGCTGCCACTTTTCCTGTAACACTGGGCGTTACTTGTGAAGGTTGAGTTGAGAATTGTGGAAACAAGGTTAATGTGGTGACGTACTAGTAGAACTGGTAGTGTTGTGACTGTGACTTGTTCAGAGTAGAATTGTTGTAGTCTTGTGATGGTTCCTCATTGTTTAGTCATCCTTGAAAATCAGTGACTTACAGATTTTAGAGTCCATCGGTTATGCGTGTCGGATCTGGTAGATAAATGGGCAGCTGGATCACAGATGGCAAAGTTTCTTCTCATTTGTATTCTTACATTTTTGTTTACCTCCAATTTGTTTTCCCCTCTATCTTTGCTTGCTTGAACAGATCTCCAAGGGGAGAGTAATGGCTACTCTGTGCTTGAGGAGGGACAAGAGACTGAAACTGTAGGAGCAGATTCTCCACAGAATGAGGGCTGTGTGCACTCCAGCGATGAAGACGAAGAAAAAGAAGCACACAAGGACGAGCAAGAGGACGGTGAAGGCATTGAGAGTCACATAGCCCCCCATGACTGCAGCGGTTCTAGACCTCTGCTGCAGGACTCCGAGGATGAAGAAGACCAAGGGCCTCAGTTAGCTCTCCATCCATCTCTGCACTCCGGCACAGCAGCAGCACAATCAGCTACAACCTTCGATCAACCTGCTCCAAATACCTTTGCCCAGAATCACTTCCAGCATGTACACGAGGCAGCAAAGGAGATGGAGGGCGCTGCAGATATCTTCTCCAAAGCCCCCTTTCTGATTGCGCAAGAAGACACAAGTGACGTATTCGCTAACGCTCCATTTCCACGCGGTCCCCTCGCGGCTCAGCAGCAGCAGCAGCTCGATGTTTTCTCTCAGGCTCCATTTGGAAAAAGAAAGGAGCCCAAAGGAGCACAGCCGAAGACCTCGTACCCCCACGCAGCTGGAGCTCACGCTGTAACCTCTGATCAAGGAGTCTTAGAACAGGTTGCCCAGCAACCTTTCCGTCCTCAAGCTCTGGCCAAATACTCCCGACACTTTGAAGGACCTGTGCCCCAGCAGCCAGCAGCAGCTCACAGAGCAGCGTCTAACGCGAGCCAGCAGGCTGCTGTAGCATCTGTCCCCGCTGGACCTCTACACTCGTGGACCTCAGACGTGAGCGCTGTAGACCCATTTGTCTCTGCACCCTTTCACCTCAAGGCACCGCAAGAAAAGCCCTGAACGCACACTCACAGGTCAGGGCAGTGGGAATCCGCGCCTACCGAAATATGCAAAGTGTAACAGGCGTACCGCATGCTGTCACCAGCGCTGCAGCGGGACTGCAGGCCTGCATGGATCTCATTCTTAACCAACTCAAATAGTGCAAGGTCATCTTTACTTTGACTAAACTGACATCAGTCCCACATTCACAGTTTTGTTTCCTCTGCCTTTCACGTTTTCCTTCTTGTTCACATTTACACAATGACTACATTATGGTCAAGCATTTGATTGTTTTCTCGCCTACCTCAGTTTTTTTTTTTTGTTTTTTTGTTTGGTGTGCGTCTGTGTGTCGGCGCTGAAATATCACACACAGCGAGGGAGGTCATAGACTGTCTGCAGCCGTGGTGGTTAGATTTCCTGGACAGTTTGAGCTTCATTGCGAAACTACGATCTGAAAATGCCTCATTCCTTTATTTTAGTAGTCAGCTTGAATGACGTGACCGTAACTTCATAGAACCTTGAAAGACGGGAAGACGCAGCCTAGGAATATTTCATTAAACTAGAAATGTGCAAATGCCTTACAGTTAAACATTTACAGTTACTTTTTGTCTTTTATGCTTCGAAGTTCATAAAGGAAATGCTGGATGTTGATGCAAAGTGTAAATTTAACGTGCGCGTTACGCTTGCGGTCACAATCATGTCATACAAAAACAGTTTGTTCCACATCATGTACGAACTATAAGTAAATGTTAGTCATATAACATTTATTATGGTAATTCTTATGTTGTATAAATGAAGCCTATTCCCGTTGTTTGTCCTCACTGTACAATATGACATCTCCAAAGCCTTAACACCCTTGCTGCACCTCAGAACCACATCAGAACATCAGCAGCATTCATCACGTTTGCCTTCGTGCCCTCCTTAAATGAAAATAAAGACACTGCTGCATTCACATAATCTTACTGTACTCGTGTTCAGCACCAAATACCTGCGTACAATCATGTACAACTTCCTCTTGCTGTCTGCTGTACACGCACGCACAAGATTGTCATCGAGCACAGGAATGCGTCTTTGTTGTCGACTTCTGTATCCTAACTGTGACACATTTATGAACAACTGAAGTGAAAACTTTTGACTGCAGCTTCAAAATAAATAAATAAATATTACAACTGTCTACGGCACTTATGCTTCGCAGTTCCAGTCAGGGTAAATGTAGTGTTGTCCAAGTGAAATCTTATATGGTGTCTGATTGATGACATTCCTATTGGATTTTGTTTCCGTTGCCATTCAGACGTATTTAATTGTCTTTGTTCTTTATAGAATCATGGAAGACCTATTTGGTCCCCAAAAGGGATCCAGCCTTTCTCAACCCAAAGCTTAAATTATGTTTTTCTCCTTTGCAATGTAAAATCTTTTATTTCGAAGTGTTCGGTATTTTGTTATAAATGTTTACTTGTCTCATCCCAGTTGTAAACAAGACGATTGCACATAATCACTGACAGAGTGTCACGGTTCTTGAAGAATGTGTTTTGTTTGTAACACAGCTGTAAGTTTGTTTTTGTTTATTTTGTTTGTTTGTTTGTTTGGGGGGGGTGACCGCTGTTGTGTAGGAAACATTTGGAGTAACAGTTAATAAGACTGTTGGACAGGAAAGCACTCAAAATACTTCTTATGCTGCACAGCCTGCCTTTGAAAACTGTCATGAGATACTATTAAATGAATGTAAATCAAAATTGTGTGCATGTGGTTTTTTTTGTGGTTTTTGTTTTTTAAATGATCGTCAAAAAATTCAGTTCATGATGAAGTTGGTCCACCACAAGTTAAGTGTTATATTTTGTACCTCTTAAATTTGATATATATAATTCTAGGTTATTAATAATATACCTCGGGCATAATGAAACATTACCTTGACCAAACATAATAAGGGAGGCTAATGGGTTTTGGGTTTTGCTACACAATGATGACTCATTCCATACAAAAAAAAAATCAACCAAATTTTACATAAAAACGATCACATCTTGCCTCATAAAGATCAACTGTGTTTTTTTTTCTCTCTATTGAATTAGTTATGCTATCTTTAACAATGATACCCTGGGTGTTCTCATATTTGCCTACATTTTTTGCTCTACTGGATGTAGTTCATAAGAAGGGAGAACTGTTTGTTTATTTACCAAATGAACTAGTTGTGGTCATATGGTTAGACTATGGTTGAAGTACATTCTTCTTAAATGTAGGTCCTCCAATGCTTAGTGTGCAAAATAGATTTCTTTTCATCGGTTAGTGGACTGATTGTTGGTAAAAGAAATAAATACGTTATTATATCTAAGAAATACCTTGGTCATCTACAGAAATGTCCAATTTGGGGATTGCACGCTGTCTTAAATTTCATTTCATTTCTATTTAAACTCCAATCACATTCTTACACAACATGTTGACTTTATGCATTCATGAATTTTTAAAAATACTTTTTGTTTTGGTTATTTATATATTTAACTTAAATACATTGCTGTTACCTTATTTCATTGGGAATTTTAAACTGTAAATCTGTAAAAAAAAAAAATTGCAAAAATTGCAAAAAAAAATGCAATTGCCGGAGGCACCGGTAGAGTGCGGTGTTACAGGGAGATACCGGATGTGAGCACACAAACTTCAAGAGGAGGAGGAGGCGCTAACGTAGGAGTTTGTTTTATATGAAAACAAAAGTGATTGTAGAATATGTGGTAAGAAGCGGTATGTAACAGTAATTCAATAATCCGTACTAAAGTGTATTCGTATACAGGTACAGATGTGAAAACTGTTTGAGAGCGAGACTTCGCTTTTGTTTTGAAAGCACGCGCCTTTCGGTGCTAGCTACTTGCGTGCTCGTTGATGATGTGTTTAGCCTTTTTTGTTTTATTGTAAACTTCATCGCCTAAAGGCGCCGCGTGTGTTATTTCGGTGTACACAGGTGACCTGAGGTGTGTGTTTACCCGGGCACGATGACTACTCAGAGAGTGCTTCCTCAGAGCAAAGAGACTCTACTGCAAAACTACAACAAGAGGCTCAAAGATGACATCCGCTCCATTATGGACAACTTCACAGAAATAATCAAGACAGCAAAGGTAACAGACATACTGTCACCTCACTCTTTGTGTATTTTCGTGTTTTACTACAATCAGAGCTGCTCACAACTCATTTCGTGCCTTGTTACTCGCATTTGAACATCATAATGTGGCAAAGACAACCTGCTGAAGTTCAAAGCGAGCACCAACGAGCGCCAGTTCTCTGTGTGAAGGTGCAGTGTTAATGCTTGAAGAATGGCCAGAATATTTTAGGCTAATAGGAAGGCACTGGTAATTAAAATAACCAGTCCCTACAGTCGAGGTATGCAGAAGAGCTACAGCTACAGCAGCAGAAAGTCGCACTGGACGGAACTGCTGTCAGCTAAGAGCAGGAAACTGAGGTTACAGTTTGTACATATTCACCAAAACTGGACAACAGACAACATTTGCAACCAACATTTGCTGGTCGGACTCTCGATTTCTGCCATGACATTTGGATGGTAGGGTCAGAAGTTGGTGTAAACAACATGAAAGCATGGATCCACCCTGGTGCTGGTGGTGTAATGGTGTGGAGAATATTTTTTCTTTCCACACTTTATGTCCCTTAGTTCCAGCTTAGTGTTGTTTAAATGTCACTTATTGGTTTCAAATTGGTTTACATTGATTAAGTGGACCAAATACAACACGCCATTATGACGAGTATAATATTCTACCACTTATCTCTTTGTCCAGATTGAGGATGAGACACAGGTATCCCGACCTACTCAGGCAGAGCAGGACCATTATGAGATGCATGTCAGAGCAGCCAACATTGTAAGTACTGCAGAAAACGCCTGACAACACACTCGTATACAACATATTCAGGGCTTTATTGTTATTTATTTCTGTTACCTGTGGGGAAGAAAAAATCCAAAGCTGGTTACATCTGGTTCCAAGAAAGACTCCTTTGATTGAAAGGTTAACATATTATCCATGTAATTTATCATATTACTGTAAACATGTTGATGCGTGCACTAGTTCTGTTCTTTTAGCTTTCTGTCGAAGAGTCAGATCTGGGGCTGCACTTTACTGTTGCAGTATCCTTTGTATTGAAATGTTGTAGTTTGTATGTAACTGACAGACGCATTACAGCCCTGTGAATGAATCGGTTTCTACACTTAGCGAAAAATCTTTTCTGTGCAGAAATTGAAATTTTAACAAGTCATCGCTATGATCATTTCCAAACCTGCTTCCCCTCTTCTATGTTTCTGTGCCAGGTACGTGCCGGCGAGTCCCTCATGAAGCTGGTCTCTGACCTGAAGCAGTTCCTAATTCTCAACGACTTTCCCTCCGTGAATGACGCCATCAGCCTGCAGAACCAGCAGCTCCGCTCGCTACAGGAAGAGTGCGACAAGAAGCTCATGTCACTCCGTGACGAGATTGCCATCGACCTGTATGAGCTAGAGGAAGAATATTACTCCTCCAGGTATAAATAGGCTCATACTTGCCCCCATCCCTCATCCCATTGCGCCTCTGTCGTCCCATTCCCGGTACCGCTGTTTCACATTTCACCATTTACACTGAGCCCTGGGAAGGGCTTGTGACAGTGTCTAAACTGAGCTTTTCATCAAAATTGTTATAGGTCTTTGTAATGAACCTCATCTCACCACAAGCGCCTTTACATTGTTACTATTTAGTGCGTGCCTTGACCTTTTTAAAAGAAATCATTATAAGAGATGATTAGAGGGAGGTCATGCCCTTAAATATCAGCACTTTGGAACCAAAAACAACAGATTTAATGATTTTACTTCTAATGGTTGGTGCTAGATCAAATCAACTAGAAGAGACACTATAGTCTGCTGTGATTGGTTGTTTCATGGATAGGTGACTGATGAAGCTCTAGGAAAAGATCTTGTTCATATTTTCATTGTCCCTTGTGATTAGTAGGCGATTGGTTATCACCAGTCTGATTTAAAAACTACCCAATCACAGCAGAGCAACTAGTCACTGCCTAGGAACTAGTCTGCAGGGTCCGCTGGCCTAGAGAGATGTTTACCCAACATTATCTGGTACACAGGAGAGATTCAGAATTTATAAATCTTAGTATTGAGAACTCCTTGTTCATTTATAGTAATAGAAAAAATGAAAAGAATGAACAAAGTTTATTAAAAATCTATCATTTAAAGCACTTGATTTGCTGTTGTATCCATGGATGAATTGTTGAAATTTGCTGCGTACTACAAAGAACACGTATATATAGATTTATAGATATTTTTTTCTGTGTGTAAAAGTATCATTTTAATCATTTTAAGATTATTTATATGTAGTATTTAAATCAAATAAAGTTGTGATGGCCTTTTGTGTTACATTTTAAGGATGGACTGTGCAGTTAAACACACACGTTTGCTGGTATTTATTTAGAGTTTCCACAATAGATGTTTTTCATTCCGTCCCTAAAATCTAAAAGGTGTAACCTTAACATCAGTGTCAGCCACAGTCGCACGGTGCAGTTGTACATGTTTACCAGTTTTTGCCCGCTGTTCCAAGAGACCCAGGATGATTAAGAAATAAAGTAGAGACGAAATGTTGAAGTAGTTTGTCTTGTTTTCTGTGATCAAGTGTTAAGAGGTGTCACTGAGCTCTGTTTGCATCATGCCAAATTGGGGTCTGCCATGCGGTGCACTTGCTCTGCTTTTCTGATCCATCAGCACTTGTTCTCACCCTTCTGCTGAGCTTAATCAACAGTCATCCCTCTAAATAGTAACACATGAATAAATTGCTGTTTTATGTGTAAGTTGTTTCTGGTGCTTCTGCATAACCTCTGTGCTTCTATCAAATGTGCTTTCACGTGCTCCTCTCCGAGTTGGTTGTGCTTGTTTCTGACCTGCTGCTCTCGTCTGCTCCTCTCTTTCTGTGCTGCACTGATTCTTTGCCTCCTGCTGGTTTCTGCTCTGCAAAGCTACAGTCAGTGGGACAGCACTGACCTGCCTCTGTGCGAGGCCTACCGCCGTCGAGACAGTTGGGCCTCCGCGAACAGCAGCAACAGTTCTACGCACGGGGAGCGCGAGGACGTGGACGGGCCTCCATCTCAGGAGACCAACCCCCAGCACCACCTTAACGGACACGGGACCGCCTCCGTAGAGAAACCGTGAGGAGGAAAGCAGACCTGTCGGTTTGCTTTTGCCCAGTTTGGATCAGTTTGTTTCAGTTATAGCTTGTGAACCGTTGTTTGACTTGCTACTTTTTTGTATCAAGGACTTTAAAACTGGACTTAAACTTAGCAATGAATGGTTTCTTTTGGATTAACACATCACAAAAATAAGAGACTGTTGTATTAAACCACCTAAAATGCTTGTGTTGAGTGGTAGGCTCTTAAGTGCAACTGCTGCTTTCCAAGATCTGCATCAAGCCTAGTTACAAACTAGAAGATATATTTGATAAAGAACTTCACTGTAAAAAGTCTAGACTTGAATCACGTTCAGTAAAACTAAAAGAAAATGAAAACAACTTAAAACTCACCTTTGAAACTCAAGTACTTTTTTATATTCCTGTGTTAGACTTTGCATTAAATGTATTTTTTTTTTTTTAAGAATGGCATTGGTTTACTTTTGTCTGTTTAATTTAACTGCACATCAGATTAAATCAAATATTACAATATTTTTGGTTCTTTTTTTATTTATTTTTCTGAAATCTTTAAACACAAATCTACAGCTAAACATTTAACAGTGGACACTTAAAAAGGGAAAAGTCACTGATTTTTAAAAAAAAAAAAAAAAAAAACCTGACCAGTTTAAGACCAGAATCTGCATCCTTAACGTATTCCTGTCTTTTAAACGTAAGACAATCCTGAGCAAAATCATCTGAGACATTAACAACTGTACTGTATACAGACAAACAGCAGGAGCTATATACAATAATTACACGGTGTGGCCCTGATGTTAGAGCTATGCCATCAAAAGCCGTTTGGGATCCTCAAATGATTTATGGTCCAATCTTGAGTTAAAAATGTTTTTATATATATCCACATCAATATCGTCGATTCATCTTCTTGAACTTCTCATAGTGGTAGTCATCTGTAGCCTTCTCATTGTTTGGACGTTTGCGGTAGTTTGGTGGTGACGGAGCTGTGGATGAACAAATAAGTTAGAAATCAGATTAAAGGTTTCAAAAAGATTTAGAATAAATCCCCACACAGACACACAAGCAAATGGGGGATGCCATTGAAAGTAAATTAAATGCAATGATTGTAATACAGTTTGTATCTAGCTCGGATAAAAAGAAGAAAATCCTGAAACTGAGAAATATTATTTTTGGAAATGCACAAGTGACAGTGACTTAAAACAAGAGTTTCACATTCTGAAAGGTCCGGCCCACAGGACAGTTTTCCACTTCAACTTAGACTTCATTAAATTTTGAGTTGGCAATGTTTTTGAAGTGTTTGAGTCTATGCAGTCATTCCTACTACAGATTAATGCCTGTTTTTAATTTACTGCTTCATTCGTGTGCAGAGATTTCTCTTGATTCTGTGAAATTATTATCATTATGAGTAGAGATGGCACGATACCACTTTTTAATGTCTGATACAGATTCCGATATCATAAATTTGGATATCTGCCGATACCGATATGAATCCAATATAGCATATTTTGTAATCAATAAAACTGTTTTTTATAAATATCTTGCTGCATTTTGTATAAGTTTATACTCAAGTTTTAAAAAAGAGACTGAAGCTATTCTGTTATACCTGTATGCAAAAAATGCACTCCACCCAAAACATTTTATAGTTCAGCAACACTGATCAATCTAATAAATTTAAACCTACACCATCCTCCCTATTCTGGTATTTTAAAGAGTACTTACCTACCTAACTAATAGGGTTGCCATTGCCAACTCCCAGCAAAAATATTAGGGAACCACTCCCGCCCTTAATCAATGTAATCAACTTTAATTTAATGCAAGTGTAAAACAAATGCACAATAATCAATTATTTTTCTACAATAGTTAAATAGATTCAACATCTTTCTTCAACAGAATTGCAGACTGCACAGATGGTACCTTCCCAAAGGAAAAAGTACTATAGCTTACTAGGGTATATATTAGACTTATTAGTTACTATATACAATAATGGATTTCTATACATTTAATCAGATGACCACTTTTGTTGTAAGATTCAGATAATTATTTATTCAAAGTTTTTAAATGACATAATAAAGAAAAATATTTCTTTGCGCCCCCCTTTCCTTGTTAATGCCCAACCTGGCCCCCGACAGGTCTCGCAGACAATAGCCGCTCTATCACATGACACATACTGCTCCGACGCACCGAGCTTGGGTTACGCCAAGTAGCGCGTTTTGTGAGGTGATTTTGTGATACTTTGGATCAGATTACATTTTTTATTTTTCTCCGATATCTGATCCAGTAATTTAGGTCAGTATCGGACCGATACGTAATATCGGATCGGTCCATCTCTAATTATGAGATGATAAAATTTCCAAATTGCTAAGATAATTTTCAGAAAACTTGACTTCTGACCTTGATCTCAAAGTCACAAAGCCGAGTGTCCATACTGCCCGCTCGCCGGGGTGATTCCACCCACCCATTTTCTTTTGTTTATCCAACTGTTACAGAACTATTTCTGTGTACTGAGCAGTGAGCGTATCTGTAGTCTCTTACCCTCTGGACCTGGTTTCTCTGTGTCGCCCACACGCAGCGGTCTTGCTTTGGGTTCTTCTTTGTGTCTGTGGTGTCTCTGCGGTGCATTTGCATCCTCATGATAGACTGAAAGAAAAAGTCATCTTGATCAGCATAATCCGCTTTAATTTAGGTTTTGGAATATCTCGCTCTCTTCAGATTACTTACATCGATTGTGTTGGACATAGTTAACAGCGATGTTCGTGGGTACAAATGATGTGCCGTGGTCTTTTTTCTTGTTTCTTTGTTCTGCCAAAAGCTTTGCTTTTGCCTCCTCTGTCTGGATAATGTTCTTTATCTTTGCACTAGGAAAGAAATTACATACACAAGTTGCATTAGTAAAGCTACAAGCTACAAGTAAAAAGCAGCATTCGTTCGTGCCATATCTCATGCAAAAATGCAGTTTTAGTCAAAAGACTCCTCTTGCTGAGTCTAAAATAAGTGTAGATGATTACTAGAATATTCTCGGTACATACTCAATGCCAAGATCAACTTCAGGGATGCCACTCAGCATCTGATTAGACAACATCTCCTCTGTCTTCTTGGCAGAATTGACTCGGATGTTCTCGGGCAGCTCGTACAGGTGGTCCTCTGGATTCTTCACTTTAACTTTATGCTCCTCAGCCTCCACCAGGCCCTTCTTCTTTTTTAGTTCCGTCTCAATATATTTCATCCTGTGAGGATAAATTTATGATAAAACCATGTTGTAAACAAGTGTGAGGGTATCTCGAATTGTGTCCTAAATGCTGGGGATTTGAAATGTCTCTTCTAATTAATCTGTGCTATATCTAACTAAAGTGGAGGGAAAAGAATCAGACATTGGGACAACAACAAAAAAAAAAGCACACATACATATCCGCATCCTCGTCTCTTCTGTTTGTCTCGGCTGAAAAAGACGTCCCCAGGTTGAGGTCTGTCTCATCTTCTGTCCTGAATACATAACATGAAATGATGACATATCAATGCACAGCGTAGAGCAATTATGCTAAAAATAGTTGAAAACTCACTTACATGTCTCTATTCCTGTCTTTCACTTTCTTCATGTCAACAATTCCCCCAGTCTTCAGTTTAAATGGGTCATTCTGTGAGGAATAATCAAAATAATTTTAATAGACATAAGTTCAAAAAACAAAACACCTTGGTTAATGAAGCTATATTACAATTTAAAATATATATATATATATATATATATATTACAAAACTGACTACCTACCTCAATTTCAGCCTCTGGTGGAAGTTTTTCTCCAACCAACAAGGCGGTCACACTAAATAAAAGAAATATAAAAAAACTGATTCGGTATTTAACTGCTCAAAACACAGACTGTAAAACTTCATGTAAAGTAACTGGATGAAACGTGTTCGTGGTTTGATTTATTCACGTTACCTGATTCCGGTCTGTCGTTTGCGCAGACTCTGTAGCTCTTTAGCCTCTTCTACCTTATGTCTAAACATCCATGAAACACAAACGATTGCAAACACATTACCTGGGCAGCTTACATGAAATGTGACAACAAACTATCTGCGTTTAGCGATTAGCATTAGCATACATAGCATTACTCTAAACAGCTTTTTTTTTATTCCTGTGGTTAAACGGATGGCTCTACCTGACTTCTTCGGTAGTCTCATCCTCCTCCACATCAGACGAGCCCCTTCTCCTTCTAAAATTTTTGCCACACGGCATTTTTTTTAGATACAACACAAAATTATTTCAGAGTTTTCTAGAAGCTGGACTTGAGTGTAGCTGCTGCTAGGATAAGAGGGGGGACGAACAAATGTACAATAATAGTGCGTCACGTCCCCTTATTTACCGCGCCACTTCCGTTGTGTTTAGATAACCATAACAAACATGGCGACTTACAGGCAGGTCGGCAGATTGTTGGGTAATTCGGCAAGACTTTCT